CTCTTGTCGAGCACGACTGTCGGTCGATGATTGATTCAAACGACTGATTTGTTTAAAAAGAAAAACGATAGCATGTGAGTGCAACATTCCGTTACCAAGGCGCGCATACGAAAATCCCACGATTTCGTAGCACATTCTATCATGAATTCTATTTAAACGTGCAGAAATTATGAATGCACGCCGACCCTTCCAAGCGATTCATTTTCCACACGACTCGATCGCGAGCTGTCGCAAGCTGATTCTAAATAACGGGTTAACGAGATACCAATTTCTTACGTCGCGTCGTAAGAAAGATTCGGTATGATTCTCGGGGACGCTCGATGGGGGTGAGATGTCAATGTCAACCCTCGGAATGGACGCACACGGCCCGGCTGGCCGAATCAACGAATGTAATCTCGTTTCGCAGTGACGCTCCTGTTAGACAACTTGGTCTTCCACGGCCTTTTAAAGACACATGCATTTCAAATGCGCCGCGTAATCTCCTAGTTCTCCAGACTAATCCAAGCTGATCCTGTCTAATCCGATCTAATCCAGTCTGCTGCGTGTATTATTGACGATTTATCGATAGAATTTTGAGTAACATAGCGGAGATGCGAAACTTTCGCAGCAGAGTTCTCAAAAAGAGAGTGTCAATTATCTGAACGTTTTACAAGTTGACAAGAAATGAGAGAAAAATCGAATTCTTCCTACGACGGCAATACCAACCGCGATCGGGAGAAATGACTCACGTCTGCCCAAGAACCGATTCGCGGACGAGACACGGAATTCTTCTCGCGCTCGACAGACGAATGAGAGCCGCTGTCGGCATCCCGGAGCCAGTGGCGCGAGTAAACCAATAACGCGTCCGCCACGCCGGGTGCCAGATTCAAATCCGGCGGGGACCGAAACGGTATTCCACGACGAAACGGATAGCGGGGGCTCCGCAGGACATTTCGAATCCGTCTCCGCGTCCTGCGGGCTTTACTGGTTTGTCGAGCCATTGGCTCGATTCGGCAATTCCGCGCGCGTCGACTTCGCGAAAGAGAACGAATGGTTGAGCGCCCGTTCGCACGCAAAACTGTTGCTCTCGCGTAATTTTGCTTAATCCGATCGTCGCGCGCGGAGGGTCCGCGTTTCGCATTGTCAGACAAAATGGAAAACAGATAAAGTCGCGAGATTTTTCAACGTTTCTGTAAAAAAACATCGCGGAATGCCGACGACACGCGAAGCGAATATCTCCTGCGATTTTGTTTAGCCAAATCGGACAAGGTGTACGTGCGGACGTACACCAAGGTAGAGCTGTTAGGGCAAAGCGAAGGAGTCGCAGCAGGGCGAGAGCTTCGTCTCTCGAGCGTCTTCGCGAAGCGGAAGGAGAAGGAAGAAGAGACGCGAAAGGAAGGAGCCGGAGATATTCCGCCCGTTCCGCAGGGTGTACGAAGCGTATCCAATTTGATGGCATTACAATAACGGGGGTAATGTCTGAGAATAATGAAATTTCCCCCAATCACCACGGCTCGCCTGGAATACGTTCCTTCGTTCCGTTCGTACCTCCTTCTTCTCTCCATCCTATCCTTCCATTTATCTCTTTCCTTTTCCTCTTTCTTTTCATTTTTATTTCTCTCTCTCTCTCTCTCTCTCTCTCTTTCTCTTTCTCTGCTCCTCATTTCTCCTCTCTTTTCCTTCGAACCAAGTCTTCCACCGTCTACTACACGCGCATTACGCCGCACACGAATGGACACGTATAAGCGGACCAGGGCAGATGAGTAGAAACGTTTTCGAATCAATCCCGTTCGCGAGTTATTTCGCTCCCTATCAGAGGAAGAACGAAAGAGAGAACACTCCGCCTTGAGAGGCGGATCCTGGGTCAGAAGTTTTCGAATATCGTCGCCCGTTGTCGCTTGCGAAAGTTCCACGCGTTCTCGCGAGCATGCACGCGGTAAGTAATCGCGACGTTACATAGTTACGCGACGAGAACACGATAAAAATTGAAAATTAATTAAATTAAATTAAAGAAATTAAATTAAAATCTAATATCAAAATATACCAATAATTATATTAATAGATTATAAATTTAAAATAAATTTAAAGCCATTAAATATAATATAATATAATTAAATTAATATAATATATATATAATATATATATATATATTATATATAATATATATATATATTATATAATATATAATATAATATAATTAAATAATAAATTAAATTAAAAATAAACATAAAAATCTGTTATAATACACGGAAATATATTCGCGAGGGTACACGCGTACACAGGCTTCTTTGAGAATTTTCACGAATGAGCGAAACGAAAATTTCGCAATCGTATCTTTCGGTTCATACAATTCGCAAACAGTTTGACGCGTCAATTTCATTCCGAGGCGATGCATTTTTAGAGTTACGCAATACGAGATACGGGGGTATCGAAGAGATTTCAATCGCGAGACCGGAATTCCTTTTGATCGTTCGTCGTGTTTTCAGCGGCGCGATTCTCGTTCGGAGCTGCACCTCTCGGCGGCGCAATAATTCTCGAGCGAACTGTACGTAATGGAATATTACACGGGCCATTAAAGAAACGTTAATCTTGCCCACAACAAGTTCAGAAGCGCTCGCAGGATGCTCAGACGTGGCCGGGATTACGCGCCGGCTTTGATCCTCCGACGCCCCCGGAGGCGCTCCGAGTCCGCAAGCTCCTGTAATTTGTTAAAACGCGAAATTCTGTGACGTCGCTGTTTGTGTCGGCGCCTCGTTACCGCGTAAAATGCTAAAAGTCACGCGGCGCCTTTGACGACTCGTAGCCGTACAGCACACTCGGCGCTCGGGCGTTCTTTCTGCCATTGCGCGTGAAATTATTTCCTTACCGTGAACACGCGAATAGCGTCAAGTGGCGTAACGTCTTCGAAATACATTGATTCGCGGTGTAATTTAAATTGCCCGCGAGATTTCATTTTGTCGAAAAATTCCACGAGTTTAAACGAAGCGTTAAAAATGAGAGAAGGTGAAATAAAATTTACCGGAATAAGCAAGGAGATACTTGAGAAATTCTTGAATCGCACCAGCAAGCGCATTCACTTTCTGATTGCGATGTTACGTGTTATTCAGACAGGGTGGGTGGGATGCGTCTTCGACGCTGTATTATTTTTTGATCTTTAAATACGAAAACACGGAGAAGATTCGTTTTCGTAACGACGGAGCTACACGAGAAATGGGTACTAAAATTTCCGGAATGTCGAAAGAAGTGGGACACGAAAAAAAACATTGTGGATGACCTCCCACCTCCTCTCTCTCTCTCTCTCTCTCTCTCTCTCTCTCTCTCTCTCTCTCTTTCTCTCTCCTCTCTCCCTCGCAGACACGAGAAAACAGCCTTTGACACATTTTCCTCTCGCGTCGATAAGAATGCTCTCGGTTCCATCGTCATTCTTCTCGTCCTGCCTCTACGACGACTCTCTTTCGAGGTCTCTCCGCGAGGGTGGCTCGCGCTACGTACACCTCGGCGCTATTACGAAGGCGCGAGGGTGCCAGCCAGCCAGCCAGCCAGCCAGCCAACCAGCCAGCCAACCATCCATCCAGCCAGCCAGCCAGCCTCGGCTAGGGAAGACGAGTAGGAGACGCGGCAGGGACGCGAAGAAGGGCGACGCAGAGCGACGCGGGGCACGCAGGGAGGAAAGGAAGGAGGGTAGAATTTAGCGACCCTCTTTTGCTTTTTACCCTAAGCGAGTCGAGAGCCCCTTAGCCACCGTTTATTGGACGCATGCAAATATCCATGGCAACGGCGTACACGGGAAGAACCAACCAACCCCACCGCCTCGAGTACACCGAACGTACCGTACGCGAGAGAGAGGGAGAAGGAGGGAGTGTTGGAGGAGGAGGACAAGTCCTTCTTCAGGTCAGAGAAAAGAAATAAAAAGGAAAGAGGAAAACGTCGGGGAATTTCCTTTTGATCCGCGCGCGTCAGCCGTCCTCGAGCAATCTCTTAATTGATTCCGCAGGAATAGTTCTGTCACGTTCCCGACTTCGCGTGTCTTCTCTTCGCACCTACCGAGTTTTCGATTGACCTTGCCTTTTTTCAGCAAAAGTACCCGAGCTACGTATGAAAACATGTGCAAAAACACACACGAGAAACTGAAGAGGGTCCCAAACCACGCTCATAAATAATATCTAACACAAGACTGCTCGTGGGAAAAGACATTACCGTTTTTTGTCAATGCCCACGGAATACCACGGCGATCACGAGCCACGATATTCTAATGAAGCGCGCGATATCCCGCCGCGTTGATCGCATCACGACCGCGAGAGGAGACAGGAAGAGAGCGCGACTCGTGTTTGGGGGAGCTCGCCAGGGCGGAACCGGTTAACGCCAAATCGTCCGTCATTCGTTTGCGCGATTAACCGCCTCGTGTTAACAACATCAGCGCGCGCCGCGACAAGAGGGTGGAGTTTACGTAGTGCTGGTCGCGCGCGCCCCCGAGTCCATCGGCTCGCATAAACATCCTCTGTACAGCCGCCAACCCCACGGAAAACTGATTTCCATCCCCCTGCTGCCCCTCCACTCACCGCGCACGAGCGTCCCGACTATCCGCCGTTATCTATGTAAATGCGGTCCTGTTCTGTGTGAGTAGACAAAGCCCCCGCGTTGACAATACACGCCTGCGCGCGCTTACAACAACCTTCTCTCTTTTCCACCCCCGCTGCCGCGAGAGTCCGAAAGTCGGGCTCCATTACGGCTGTTTTGCGACGCGCTTTGCATTGTCGTCGCCGCCGCGCCGCGACGCCGATTCTTCCGACGAGAACTTCTGTCACCCTTAATGTCCGCCCGTAATCGGTCGGGGCGAGCATTCGCCGCGATTCAACGAGCATCCCATCGGGCAGCCCGCGTTATTTTGAATATTCACGAGAGAAACGCAGACGGGATAGTATCGGGGAGTAGACTCGCCGTGCGTGTACTTTTCCCCTTTTTGCCAAATTCTCAACGAGATCAAGTGCAGTCTCCAGTGAGAGAAAGGAAATGGTACTCACACTCGGGATGTTGTCGTTCGTGCACACGCCCTCCTGCAGCAGACGATCTCGGATCTCCCACGCGAAGATCGACGGACACTCGCTCTTGTAGAGCGAGATCTTGTTGACGACCTCCGCGGTGGCCACGCGCGGTTTACTACCGCCGATCGCCCTGGGCCTTATGGATCCGGTCTCATAGTACCTGCAACAATAATATTTTGCGGTACAATGCGGTAGGAATACGCGAACGCGTTCGACATCACTCCTGACAGTCTGAGTACTGTGTGCCTATCAAGCAGACCAGCCGAGATATTTCGCACGGAAAAGAATAATTTGCAGCACTTTGACCTACTTCAGCTACACGCTGAAACTCGGGGAGGAATGCGCGTGCACACGATACGAAGCAAGCAATATTGCAACCAACCTGCCGAGGATCTTCGAGACGCAGCCGTTGCTGACCTGCAGTATCCTGGAGATGTCGCAGGGTCGCGCGCCCGAGTGCGCGAGTTCGACGATCTTCTGTCGCGTCGAGTCCGGAAGTGGCCGGCCGCCGACGAAGACACCCCCCAGCTGGTTCACCCCGCTGTGCCCTGCGAATGACCACGAGAGTTCACGTGTAATGCGGCGCAACGCTTCAGTCGCTTATCGTCGGGGGAACTACCACCGACAACAACAAATTGACGGACCAACAACACATTACAAATAATCCCTCCCATCTCCCCCTTCCCCCCTCGGATTGCTCGTTCGAGAGGTGTGAAAAATTCAAACGCTTCACCGCCTCCGGAGGCTTCTTCGCGTTTCGACGAACAATACCGCTGTCGCCATAGATCATGTATTTTCCCTGCTTCACCCCGCGACTGCCTCTTCCCTCCGGCTCATGCTGGAAAAGAGAGAAGAGGACCACGACGTTCTTTCCTTCTTTCTTTCTTTCTTTCCTTCCTCCCCGACGCTACGCGCTCGACGAAGGGTGCGACAGAGAGATGGAAGACGAGCGCAGGGGGTTGGCCGCGAACGTCGTAACGTCGGCGAATCCCATCGTAGATAATCTTCGACTCATTGTGCCGGTGACAAGGCAGCCACACACACGAGAGAGAGAGAAAGAGAGAGAGAGAGAGAGAGAGAGAGGCAGGGTGAGAGGGGGAAGGAGGAGGAATGCCCGGGCCGGAGTGCCGTCGTGTTCCTTGAGCGCGGATATTTTATATTCCCGCGACTAGGGACGCGACGCGCGCAAAAGCTGCACCCGAAGCTGACACCTATAGCGGCGAGCGCGCCACGCCCTAATTTTTCTGGGGTAGAAATCTCGGCGTCTTCCCGCGACGGGGGATAGGGGTAGTAGGTAGAATTTGTGGAATAAGGCGAGAGATAGGTGGACGTGCCAGCGCCAGACGCGTTAGCAGATTCTTTCGGAAAAATGTACGTGTCACGTACCGTGATGTGTATAAATCAACCTCTTGGCGAGACGCTCGCTAATTTATGATGCACACGGAAAAGGAAATTTGATCGGATTAACCGAATATCTGATGAAATATGAACGAACCGGGATTCCGATTGAACTTAACCAGAATTCTGTTCAAGTCAACAAGATTCTGTTTGAAATTTTTTTTAAAAGTTCTGTTTAGTCAGAAATTTGGTTCGGTCAATCTTGTTAACTTGAACGAAATTGTGATCATTTCAACCAAAATCTCTAGTTCGTTCACTTCACCATACAGACATTTGATTAATCCAATCAAATTTTTTCTCTTTCATCTACCAATACCTTATCCCTTTTTATTTCGCGTCATGAAAAGAGCTGACTCCTCGATCTTGCGCAACAGTATGGCGAAAAGCACTTGTGTTCTTCATTTACGCGCAAAACTACTCGCCGGATCTGTTAACGGACGACAGCACAGCGGGGCAATGTCGAGTGCTCGGAATTCGCGCGGAAGCATCGACTCGAAAAAAAATCGCCACCGAGCGAAGTAAAATATGTTGCGAGCGCAAACTCTCGTTCGCGAGGAGAAGCGACGTTCGTTGGTAGGAGAAGCGGCGTCGGTTGTCAAAAATTTCTCGTCGTCGCTAATTCGACGCGTCGGCTGGCGCACACACCCGAGGGGAAGAGAAGGCGGGGAGGGGTTATAAGGGAGATTTACGAGCGTGCGCGCGATCGACGAAAAGGGGGCTCACGGTCGATTGACTTTCGAAAATGGGCCTCGCGCGAGAATCGCGAGCCATTTCTCGCGTGTGTCTACGCGCCCGTTGTCGATGGGCCTTCGAACGAGGGAAAACGTTCGAGTGAGGAGAAGACTGCTCCGATTGTGCTCGCGTGTAACACCTATCGCGTCGTCATTCACAAATTAACGGCGCATTTTCTTCATAAACAGCGCATTTCACCGCGTTTGTCTCTCTCTCTCTCTCTCTCTC